GGGAGGGAGGGAGGGAGGGAGGGAGGGAGAGAGAGAGAGCGAGAGAGCGAGAGAGCGAGAGAGCGAGAGAGCAAGCGCTACACATTTCTACCACATTAAGAGAATGGAATTTCCATACATATTATTAGAAATACGGTATTTTCCTCTCAAGTAATGATTAAAAATAAAGCAAAGACACCCTTATAACTTCTAGTAAATGAGCACTGTGATTAACAAAAATTTAAAATATGTTCCCTGAGACTCTTTCCATAAGACTCAATCATTCCTACCTCACAGCCAATTTTAAGTGAAAGTGCTGCAAAGTCAAAATTTCTCCCAAGTTTGCTTTACCTCCTCACCCAGATAGTCTATGGGAGTAGGTGTGCATTAGGCAGAGGGCTAGTGCAGAGAGGAGAGATCAGCACCTGAGGAAATGGGAGATCACTCACGATGGGCATTTGATTACCTTTCAAGAGGTAGGTATGTGTGTGGTGTCTGTCTGTCTGTCTGTCTGTCTGTGTCCTATTGACTGGCTTGTAATGAGGTTATTGTACACCCCAGAATTTTAAAACCTCCAATGCACCCAGCTGATAGACCCTCCAGCTATAAGGCCTGGCTTTGGGCCCAAATACTTGCATGTATTATTAATACAAAAATCCATCTTTATAAAAAAGGTAAATTAATTTATATAGAATTTTAGCCAAAGCTGAGGAGAAATTCTCGATGCTTCTGCCTCACCTTTAGCTGTGTTATAACTTACAGAAAAGATTAATCAAGGGTTGAAGGTACAGCTCAGTGGCAGTGTGCTTACCTAGAAGGTATGGGACCCTAAGTTAAATACAAGTCAGCTATAAAACAGTTTTAAAAGATGAAGCAAAAAATAAGGAACTACACACATGAAGATTTAACCATAGGCCCCAGGAGCCCCCAGATACCTGAGCAGGAAAGTAAGTCTTTATCCTGGTGTTAAATACCAGAGCTCTTCTACAGAGACTTTTCACTCTCAACCTGGCCTTTCTGGAAGGGTTTTTAGTTCTTTTTTTTTTTTTAAAGATTTATTTAATTATGTGTATGATACATTGTTGCTGTCTTCAGACACACCAGAAGAGGGCATCAGACCCCATTACAGATGGTTGTGAGCCACCATGCGGTTGCTAGTAATTGAACTCAGGTCCTCTGGAAGAGCAATCAGTGCTCTTAACCACTGAGCCATCTCTCCAGCCCCGGGTTTTTAGTTCTTAAAGCATGCCTCTAATCTTAACATCTTCCTGGCCCCTGGAAAAGATAAAATATATCTATCCAGGCCAGTTTGGATGTCCTGTTTTTATTTTATGAGTATTTGTGTCCTGGGGCTAGATTTAATTTGTTTTTTTAATCTGGGGAGAGATCTGGCAGGGAGCCTAATGGGGGTCTACAGTTAACAAAAGGTGCCCTGACCATTTTCAGGTTGGTGGGAGGGTTTCAAAAGGTGGGTGTAACTGTGGGTTGCCTCCTTCTAGAAACTGTTTAAGGCTAATCTGTGAAAGAAGATCTGAAGTAAATATCTGCTGCAATTGCATTTCTGATTCTGTGGCCCCGAGTTAAAAAACTGACTATAACTTCTGGTGATAATTAATCTTAGAATTAATCTTTGTCTGTCAAGTATTGTCACAAATGTATTTTTTGACATAATTTAGCAGAAATTAGAAACATCTCTTTCATGTTATTGATGACACAAGTAGGAACAAGAGTCTCTTTGTAAATGACTAGCAGTTGAATATAACTCAGATAGGGATTGTCACTGGAAATGGGTAATCTTGTCATTTTAAATGTGTATGGTTTTAGGCAAACTTGAAGGAAAACACCTTTGTTTAACTTAAGGTCATCTTTGTTCCACCATTAAAGCATACACTAACAGACAACAGGAACAATCTCGTTTTAGTACAGTCAAACAAAACACCAACAACTGTAAAAGAGACCTAAAAAAGTACTGAAGAAAAAAAATTGACATTGGTCTGTACAGTTAATTTGAGGGGGATCTTTAACCAAAAAAGCAACAAGGAGACACGGAGTAGCATAAACGAATGGGAGTGTATAGCCAAGAGAGCTGAGAAAGGAGACAATCTCAGGCTCTGGCTCTCAAGGGAGTTTCTACAAGGCACACATCGAATAAAAGGCTAGTGCTAAAATCTATAAGGAACTTGGTTCCACTAGGTGGCAGTAGCGCACGCCTTTACGCCCCAGCACTCAGGAGGCTGAAGCAGGCAGATCACTGAGTTCGAGGCCAGACTGGTCTACAGAGTGAGTTCTAGGACAGCCAGGGCTGCACAGAGAAATCCTGTCTCAAACAAACAGAGAACTTAGTTACAATAAAATAATGACCCAACTTAATAATGAATAGACTTCAATAGCCATTTCTTGAAGACATACATACATACATACATACATACATATATATGGTCAGTAAACATATGAAGAATTGCTCATAAATGATACTGATAGAGGAATTCCATATCACCCCCGTCTGTTCAAGAGTTCATGAATCTATTACCTCAGTCCCAGGAGTTCTGGGCTGAGAGGTGTGTGTTATCACACCAGGCTATAGTAAGCTCTGATTATGAGCACTCCTGCTAATGTTCATTCCCCTTCGATAAGCAAAGACATCAGTGGCAAGACCACTGACCCTTTAACTGGAAGTTGTTGAACTCCTTTTCTTCTGTGTTTCCCACTTGCCTTTACAGGAAACTTAATGGCTGAAGCCTGGTAGGCTACCTATATACCAGAATTGCGATTCTGCACATTCTACAGATGCACTGAGGAAACTACACAGTGATTCTAGGTGATTGCTCTGGCTTCTGAAGGCACAGCCCCAGTCAGGACAGTTTTAGTGTGGGGTGGACCTTTTGCTGTTGTGTCAGCCTGTAACATGGTGAGTGATTTCCCATTTCCTCAAGTGCTGATCTCTCCTCTCTGCACTAGCCCTCTGCCTAATGCACACCTACTCCCATAGACTGTCTATGTCAGGAGATAAAGCAAACTTGGGAGAGTTTTGATTTGCAGTGAACTCTAGATGGCTTGAAACCGGTTCTACCTTGTTAGGGAGAAGCGCTCCCTCTCGTGGCCTAGCTAGGAAGTGCTGTGACTAGTGTTAAAGACAGGAGGTATCAGGATCTTTACTCTGCACGTGGTATCACTTTTGTTTGGACCTGGGAAACAAGGAATTCCTTAGCTCTTGGCAGCAGCTTGTGTTGCAGCTTTTCATAGGGCCTATGTATTGGCACTACTTAGACCTTGACATCGACCAGTGACCAGTGTTTCAATTCAAGCCTTAGAATGTTCGAGGCTTGACAGCTCTGTGGAACTCTTCTACCAATCAGGGCTTTTAATCTTTCTTCCAGCTCTGCCCTCCGCCCTCCGCCCTCCGCCCTCCACCCACCCTACTTCCAGGACCCAGTTCTTCCTGCCCATAGGGAATGTAATTACAGCTCAGGACATAATGACAGCTGTGACCCTGTGGTTGATAAGGGACAGACAGACCTTCAAGATACATTCTTTGGGGCTGATCCGTCCTGATAAACAGAAACGGACATCCTAGCAGGGTAATTTCCCTATCTCAATCAGGCCTGGTGAGAAAACTACTCATCTCTGAGGTATTTTCGAGAAATCTGTCCCTAAGCTAAGTTCTGCTTTCTGTGATTTACTGCCTCCTAAGAAAATCTATTCTAAGTCCTTCTCTGGTCTGACCTTCAAGAACAGCTGCCCCCTACCCCTACATGAATGGAGTTTATCTTCAGAATCTTTTTTAAAACTTTGTGTTGGGGTAGGAGCCAGAGAAGGACAGCCAGAATGTCCTGCTCTTCACTCTGGACTTTATTCTCTTGAGAGGGAGTGTCTCACTAAACCTGGGGCTGGGTTGCCTGGCAGCAAGTCTCCATGGATCTTCCTGTTGGGTGCTAGGGTTTTGAACTAGGGTCCTCATATTTGTACAACAACAATTCTTACCCAGGAAATTGATGCAGAAGAAATTCAAATAGACTCGATGTTATAAAGGACTTAGTAATCGATTTTCTTAGGAGGCAGTAAATCACAGAAAGCAGAACTTAGCTCAGGGACAGATTCCTCCAAAATATCTCAGAGATGAGTAGTCTTCTCACCAGGCCTGATTGAGATAGGGAAATTACCCTGCTAGGATGTCCGTTTCTGTTTATCAGGACGGATCAGCCATTAAGATCCGGCCTCAAAAAATGTATCTTGAGGGTCTGTCCCTGAACAGCCACAAAGTCACAACTGTCATTAAGCCCTGGGCT